GGTCAGATCAGTGTATTACCATTAACTCCACTTTCTGATCACTGGACCCTATCATGTTGTTTTAACCTGTAGTCAGTTTGGAACTGTAGGCAGTGTGGGAATACACCCATCTGCATATACCTCACACTCATGGTTCCAGCTTCCAAGTTGTGACGCGGAGTGTCTATCCTGGAGATGACATCTGAATATTTCTTTTTCTTGGGTGGAAGCCGTTGCCCTGCAGCATACTGAACGAGTTTATATTCATTTAGTTTCTGCTCGTTTCTAAGGAATGACAGCATTTCAAACTCGTTGTATAATGATGGTATTGGTGTCAACGATGACTTGGCTCTGAACTTCATGTCTGCGATATAGTGATCTGTGTCTCTCAAGAATCCCACATAGATGAGAAGAAATAATATTGAAATTAGTGTCCGATCACTTGGCTATAATAAATGTGAAAATCGAATATCAAATAATGTAACTGTTCTTTATGAATGAAAGTTCCTCTAACACTCACCTTTATGTCATTATTTACCGGTCCGTGGCTATGTTGGCCAGGACGTTTGGTGATGATGTCGTCAACTGTAGAAATAGTTGAAGTGCAGTTCTTATCTAGGCACATCCATGACATCCACGATGCAGCACTGCGTTTGCAACTCACTCTAAACATGTATCCATCTATACAGAGATACCTTCCTCCACGTGAAGTTGGAATGAACTTGTACTCTGCCTGCTGATTTGCCATTTCGAAAGTGATGCATTGGATTGCGGATAAGCAGGATATATACCCAAAATAATTAGTGAGTAATTATCAACAAATAATTAGTGAATTAAAATCAGTGTCAAAGGCAATCAAGTAGTAAGTGAGTTGAAATGAATCAATGTCAATCAATAAGCAGTGAGTTGGATTAACGGAGTTGTCTCTCTTGAATGAAACCAAGCACTTGATAGCTGGTCAAGGTTGTTTATGCTAGAAATCAATTAAACATATTCCTAAAATTCTCAATACTTTCTGGTCATACTATACTAAATCATATTATACTTCTTGCCAAAAGTTTTGTTATAGACCTTATTATGTACTAAGCATTGAACTCTACTTATAATATCAGCTGATATTTCCAGACTCCACCCACTACAATCACACCATTCAACCTTATTCCTTCAATTTGATATGCCCTCTACAGAAACTTTAACGACATCTTATGTATCTATATTTTTGTTATAACCTTACAAAACACCAATGTTGTCTTTTATGTCATATGTATTTCATCTGAGAATTGAAATGGGTCAGGGTCTTCAGTAACCCATGCTTGTCGTAAGAGGCGACTAATGGGATCGGGTGGTCAGGCTCGCTGACTTGGTTGACACATGTCGTATCCCAATTCCATAGGTCGAGGCTCTTGCTGCTGATCACTGGACTGTCTGGTCCAGACTCGACTTTTTACTGACCGCCGTCATTTAGCTGAAATATTGCTGAATTAGACGTAAACTGTACTTGGAATCGGCCATCCTTTTTGGACGTGTAACCACAGTAACCAGTCAAATAAAGGTCCAGACTCGACTTAAATAAACACTTTATTAACAATTCAATGTTTAGCAATATTGCTGATTCCATGGGTCGAGGCTCTTGTAGTATATAGACGTAAAAAGTATATAGGAAAGTAAATACACGTAGGAATGTGTGTCCTCTAATACCAGACAGGGGCGGTGGCATAGCCTTTTGGCTAAAGCGTTCAGTTTGAACACAAGGTACTGCTTAAATTCTTAGACTGTTATCAAGATACAGAAACTATGTAATCCACTTTTCAGATTATTTACTGACCACGGTCATATAGCTGGACTATTGCTGAGTACGGAGTTAAACAACAAACAAACAAACTTTCACCACCTGCGTTCATCCCGCTACGGCCGATCCTGCTTCAATTAACGTGTAACGCAAGCACATCTCTTTAACAGACAGCCAACAAGTTAAATCACAGGGGTTCGAATCACTGCTTGGACAATAATTCTTAAAAATCAAAATCTGGACTTTCGCAATCGTATACTATATGCTATGATTAAAATATATTTCAAATTTTAACGAAATCGGCGAAGAAATGAATATATTAGAAAATTATACAGTTTCACTTGTTACATAACATATAAAAGGGGGTGATACTCGCAATGCTAAAATCCTTATCGAAAACCGGACAGCCCGAATATTTTAACGTTAATGTTAATCAAACCTTCGTTTTTCACCACAAAATGTGTTGAGGTTCTAGGTCATTCTTTTACCTGTCTGCTCATCGTATTCAATTTGTCTAACTGTATTTCATATTTGGCCAATGACCCTCGCATTAGCACTACACTCTGCTTTGAACAAACGTCTGGCCTCTCTTCGGTAAATGTCGATAGTTTCCGTAAATCTTTTAGTGTATGAACATGGGCGTAATGTAAACAATAACACAGACCCCATTTCAACACCGACATGTGAGTTGATATTTCGTGTCTGCTCGCTATTTTCTTGAAATCGTACAGGAATTGGTCCCATTTTCTCCTGTTGTATGCTGGAAATAAACCGAACGCCCAGTAATAGTAACAAGAAAATGGTTGTTTACCACATTATATGATTAATAATAAATAGATCTAATACATTCGAAAAACATAACAGATTAATTCAACCATGTACTCTTAACAATGTATGTGCTTTCAAAAATGTAATAATGATAAAGAAGAATATATTATTATTTTTATTAATTTGGCATGTATCATTTCAATATAACATCCATATATATTCTTCCATTTTTTGCATGGTGGTTGATTATGGTGATGCAGTATAGTCATTGATCTCGAAAAGTATAACAATAGTCATAGTATGGCAACATCTGCCTGATGCTACCGAGATGTTAATTACACATCAGACCATCAGCGTGTTATCTACTGGATATTGAAAATCACATGACTATGATATATATAAAACTAAATGTACTCCAATCCCCAACCCACTCCAACCCAAGATACAGCTACAGTTTTTTTATGTACAACGAGGAGGGTTCTATGGATATACAACTTTTTTAATATAATAAGAGCGACGTTTCCGTGTCGCTACTAACACCGTTATCACGTAAGTGATGTACAACACTGAAGGCAAGGTATATATACATAGTAAAGTTTGGACAGTAAGTGACTGATGTTTGCACAGTTAATGGGGTTATACAAGGTTGGGGGGGATGTTTACACAGGAAGGCAATTGTACACAAACAGAATAGGCTGGGGGGCATTTGGGAGGTAGTATTGGAGAGGTAAGATTGCTTGGTGAATAATATGACAGGCAGGAGAATAAAAGGGATACTATTATTGCCTTCTCTTGACTTGTGGGGGATGGTTTGATGAGGGTGAAGGTACTGATCGCCCATGTATGGGTGGGTTTATTGGCACTGTACACAATGGTCTGTTTGTTGGCGTGGGGGTTGTCTTTTCGGGTTGAGGGCGGCGCTGATGCTTGTTGTTTTCTTTGTCTTTCTCTGTTCTCACAAGACATCGAGGAAAGCTAGTTGGTTGTCCGTTTCTTCCTCAATGGTAAACTGCAAGCGAGGGTGTTGGACATCGAGACAACAAGAGACTCCAACCGGCCATGAACCAGGGATATTATATCCCCACTGTCAACAACCAACTCATCACCAAGCAATCGTATCCCTATTATTCTCATGTCTGTCATATCACTGGCTTCCCCCAATAACCCCCCCCCTCACACAAACACACGCCTAGCCTATTCTGTTTGTGTACAATTGCCTTCTTCTGAAAACATCCCCCAACCTACCTTGTACATCAACCTCATTAATTGTGCAAACATCAATCACTTACTGTTCAATATGTATACCTTGCCTTCAGTATTGTACATCATTTGCTTGATAACAGTGTTAGTAGCTACACCGAAACGTCGCTCATATTATATTTAAGAAGTTGTATCTCTATTGAACTCTTCTCGTTGTTCATCACACCAACTTCTAAATGCCACTTAAAGAAGATTTTTTTTATGTAATCGGAAAACGGACACATTATGAAATATTAATAGAAGGAATCAGATAAACTGATGACCGACCGACACCATGATTGTTGTAGATTGTCAGATAATCATGGTTTAAAAAAGGTGAATAAATATCTTTACATTTCCCATATCTTGTGTTAACCACACACATTCAAATCCAAGTCTAAACAGAATATTTTTAAGATGTGTAGACCATGTGGTACAGCCAGAGTCGTCGATTAGGTAGCATTGGCAGACTGTGTTCATCCAAATACAGTAGCCTGCACCAGTACTTAACAGCCCTTGTGGTGTTGACAAGTTGGAGAGGGGCTCTGGCACATTCTCCCCAAACGTAGCATTGTTTGTTGTGATACACATTTTCAGAAGACATTTACACAGTTTATGCTGTACATCTTCAATAATTATACACTATGAGATCCCCTATACTTCTGCACCATAACACACTACAGGAACAATCATAGCATCAAATATCTTAAATAAATAATCACATGGTCTATTTCCACATTTCTATTTATACCTGTACAATGTCATTATAGCCTTTTACTCTGTTCACCAAGAGTAATGAGTGCTTTAGTCCAAATAAGTTTAAGTGTTAACACAATACCTATAATATCTATAAAAAGACACAATTTCGAGATACACATCATAAAACTTTAATTCAATAGTGAACTGCAGCTGGTCAACAAATTCAGAGCACATTCTCCAAATTCAAAGCAAAATCACTGATTGTGTGTTGAACTATGTATGCATGCACTGCTGTAAAGTTTATAAAGTAAAGCAAACAGAGTCCACTGCAGCATGTAATCAAACTTGTTAACTGCTATCTGGCTGAATAATTGCTGATATCAAAGTATATGATTATTGGCATCTATATGACATTGAGATCTATTTTAATATCACCAGGGTTATCATGCCCAAAATGATCAATTATATAGCAAATGTATACTATGATGCTGCCATAAAAACTACAGTACGCAGGACAGGTTTCATTTGTAAAAGTCACAAACAGAAGAATGTACATTAGTCTATAAAGTTCAAATATATGTGCTTTTAAGGCAATTATGCATTTTTCTGGTCATGTATTAACATTTTGATCATACTGTGTATTTTTAAATATTCAGTTTAGTAAAATATTGTGTCAAATTCATTGTATTCGGCAGTATATTTGTGTGTATGTTTTGTGTACAGATCACTTGATTCACCATGTTTATTGTTATCATAAACATTTCTTAATAATATTTGTATAACGTGTTCATGTTTTTTTGCAAACCGATTCAGACACTTTAAATAATTTGACAACATTCTGTTAAAAATGTATGTTCATGGATGGATCTGTCTAATTTATTTTACAAATGATATGTGCCAAATTAACTCAAGATAAGGAATATATCTTTCTGTATTATGTCACTGAGAGTCGACAAGTTTACAAGCACACCCACAGTTAAAAAACAACGGATTGAACTTTATCATTATGCTTTAGAAAATAGATAATACATGGCTTTTCATATTAATAACAAAAATACAGACTGACTGACTGAGTTTGGTTTTACGCCGCTTTTAGCAATATTCCAGCAACATCACGGCGGGGGACACCAGAAATGGGCTTCACACATTGTACTGATCAATTATATAGCAAATGTATACTATGATGCTGCCATAAAACTACAGTACGCAGGACAGGTTTAAAAGTCACAAACAGAAGAATGTACATTAGTCTATAAAGTTCAAATATATGTGCTTTTAAGGCAATTATGCATTTTTCTGGTCATGTATTAACATTTTGATCATACTGTGTATTTTTAAATATTCAGTTTAGTAAAATATTGTGTCAAATTCATTGTATTCAGCAGTATATTTGTGTGTATGTTTTGTGTACAGATCATTTGATTCACCATGTTTATTGTTATCATAAACATTTCTTAATAATATTTGTATAACGTGTTCATGTTTTTGCAAACCGATTCAGACACTTTAAATAATTTGACAACATTCTGTTAAAAATGTATGTTCATGGATGGATCTGTCTAATTTATTTTACAAATGATATGTGCCAAATTAACTCAAGATAAGGAATATATCTTTCTGTATTATGTCACTGAGAGTCGACAAGTTTACAAGCACACCCACAGTTAAAAAACAACGGATTGAACTTTATCATTATGCTTTAGAAAATAGATAATACATGGCTTTTCATATTAATAACAAAAATACAGACTGACTGACTGAGTTTGGTTTTACGCCGCTTTTAGCAATATTCCAGCAACATCACGGCGGGGGCACACCAGAAATGGGCTTCACACATTGTACCCATGTGGGGATTCGAACCCGGGTCTTCGGCGTGACGAGCCAACGCTTTAACCTCTAGGCTACCCCACCGCCCCTAACAAAAATACAGAGGCAAAATATGATGGTTAACATCATTCATATGGATCTAAACACTTTCCCTAGCTATTTCACCAGGCGATCGAAACATATATCCGCAAAACCTACCCTGTTACGATGGAAGATACGGGACACAAACGGCGATATTTTCGTCATCAAATTTGCTAAAATAAAGATGCTAACTATATTATTCAATCAGTGTGGTCGTCCAGATCCATGTGTTGAAGCGTTAGCGCAGCAAATCCCCGGAACCAGGCTGAGCCTTTTTCTGTTTCCAAGTCACTAAAAAATCTACGGAAACTGTCATTGTTTACCGAAGAGAGGCCAGACGTTTGTTCAAAGCAGAGGGTAGTGCTAATGCGATGGTCAGTGGTCAACTATTAAATGCAGATAGACAAATTGAATACGATGAGCAGACAGGTAAAAGAATGACCTAGAAGCTCAATGATTTTGGTTCTTTGTGGAAAACGTAAGATTTGATTGAACCGCACGTTAAAATATTTGGGCTGTCCGGTTTTCGATCTTTTTTAATTTTATTTGTAAAAAATATTGTCCAAACAGTGATTCGAACCCCTGTGAGTTAGCAAGGTTTTTCTCATTCCTATGTATACGATGCCCAGAAAACAACGAAGAGCTCTCTCTATGTTCAGATGTGGAGTAGCCCCCTTACAGTACAGACAGGCCGTTTTAACAATGTCCCGTTAGGCCTCTTTTTTTAATTACTTGGTTCACGAATTTTTACCAAAAAAATATTAGGTCTGTAGAGAAGGAAAAGAGTATTTAGTATATACCTTGGTTCCGGTAGGATTTCGTACTACTTGCGAGCAGACATGAAACTATCAAAGGCATTTGCCTTCTTTCGCCACTTTCTCATCTTCATCTATCTTCATCTTTTTCCCAGGGTGTACTCAGTGGTGTGTCCACAGATCATTAACCAGCATAGTCCTGCGCAGGTGATACTTTGTTTACACACAAGTTAACATCTGTTTTATATGGAACAGACTCTACTATGTCTCCAACTGTCTGACCTTGTTCTACCTTGACAAATGAGGTCGTTTGTGATGCAAACTTTCCCACCTGAACTTGAAAATACTCCGCCATGCCGCCGATCTCCCTTGATCAATGCAGCAATGGCTGCACTCGTTGTGTTATGAGTTCTGACGATTTGTGTGATTTTCTTTGGTGAAATATAACATAGTTTCAGGCAAAATTTGAAAGGTATAATTTGCTATTTTTTAAGTTTCTATTTTTTCACTTTCTTTGTTTTTTTATCAGGTCGGCAGCATATAATGGCTCATTAAATGTATGTTTTATACTTGTAAATATTTAATATATGTTATATTTGTATGAGGTGAGACTGTACATGTGACCTGTACAAAGCAGCCGTAATTCCAAATTATCGAACTGGATTATCCGGTCCATCGATCACTTGATTGTTTTGGTTGACATCAGGCCGCCGTGCCGTGTTGTACGGCATCAGTCAAGTTTTGTTTATACAGTTTTGTATTTACCTTTTTTGGCAAATTTAGTTCATGGTGGCAGCACCGGTATGAGAGGGTATGCTTACCCTTTTTGCAAAGTCCTGGCTTCATAATTGATTTCCACTGATGCACTGATATTATTTTCACAGCGATTTTTCCCTTAACACCAAACGGAATTTCTTTCTGAGGAAAGTCAAGACTGGGTGCTCTTTTGCAACGACGTTCTATATTTAGTCGTGGACATATTCAGAATTAAATTGTTTGAAGCTGAGTTCATGTGTGCCTGACCCGTGAAGATCCGGGGTAGAATAGGTCTTCAGCAACCCTTGCTTGCCACAAAAGGCGACTATGCGCAATCGGGTGGTCAGGCTCGCTGACTTGGTTGACACATGTCATCGGTTCCCATCGGTTCGATGCTCATGCTGTTGATCACTGGATTGTCTGGTCCAGCCTCGATTATTTACATATAGCTGTAATATTGCTGAATGCGGCGTAAAACTAAACTCACTCACTCACTCATGTGTGCCTTGTTCGTATGAACCCGGGTCTACAGCGTGACGATTGGACGCTTTAAACATTAGGCTACCCCAACGACCCATGAATATTTGAGAAAACGAACAAAACCATAAGCGCGGAAAATGCACTCAACACAGTGACGTGTTTTCATCTGGATTAAGTGCAGTTGATTGCAATGTCAGGTGGATACATTTACCAGAGAGAATGAGTTCATTTGTATTTTACGTCGCATGGGTATTATTTCAGCCATAGAGAGATACACTTACGACAAGCGGCACTATCAACGGCTCTGCTCGTAACGGGAAATCGATTACAGGATAAATGAGGCTGAAAAGAGCATAAACTGCATTAAGCTATAGTTAATAGCTAACAATACTTATGCATGCTGTGTTATTGTACCAGCAATATATCTGCTTGAAATGATCGGTGTTAGGTCCCTTAGATCCGTGAATTTTGTACTACAACTTAGATCCCTGAATTTTGTACTACAACTGTCTCACATGTCATGGAACAATAAGCTGTGGTTTTCATGTGATTGGAATATCTGCACAATCTGTGGTTTCAATCTTTAATATTTGACTGTGAAATTTCATTTCTAAAAGTTATTTCTCACACATTCAAACTCTTATGGTCAGCATTCCTATATGCACTGGAGCAAGACATCCATTGTTCTACACAAAGGACTAATCAGCACACCCAGGTCCCTGTTGTGAGAACAATGGGTACAGCCCTGGACAAGTGCTTGGTTCTCTTTGTGTTTTCAAGAAGCAATTGTCTACTCAAATAATGGGACTAATCAAGTTCCCGCCTGCCCGATTGAGGCAATTGAGTGTGGGAGCCCCAAGAAGTGTATCCAGACCTGTTTTTAATTTATTAAGAAAATTGGACATTTGTAGTGTTTCCAGGACACATAGAGGTTCACGAGGAGGAACACGGAAGATGTACCCAGGAATTACCACAAAAACTATCAAGAAGGCTGATTCCTCATTCAGGTTTGGTCTAATAAATGCAAGATCTGCAAAGACTCACAGTCAACATGTTGACAAGCCTCAAGCACTCCAGGATCTTGTAAATGATCATAACTTGGATGTGCTGGCTATTACTGAAACTTGGTTTCGACCTGATAACACTGACCACATAGCCATCAACAAAATACCCCCACCAGGGTACAAACTTGCTCATATTCCCCGATTAGGTAAGCGTGGAGGGGGATGTGCTATTGTGTACCGTGAGACAATCAAGTGTTCTCTTGTACGCCATTTAGAACCAGATTCATTCGAGATTTTATCTGCAAAACTTAATGTCTGCAATCAAATGATACATCTCAACGTTTTATACAGACCACCTAAGACAAATCTATTGGATATGTTCCTCATGGAATTCGGGGACCTAACAGACAGACTTAACAATTATGGTGGTAAATTACTTATTTGCGGCGACTTCAACATCCATGTTGACAAAGCAAATGATGTAAACGCACAAAAATTGAAGCATATACTTACATCCAAAAATCTGATTCAACATGTCATCCATCCAACACATAAGGACGGCCATATTTTGGACTTGATAATATCCAGAGCCGATGAGATTGGTTTCCACGATTTTCTCTATG